TTCAGCTAACATTGCATCAATTTCAGCTAACATGAAATCCATTTCTATTGTCTGAGACTTTTGAGGATCAGGTTGGGATTTTAAACTATTTGCCTCAGGAATAGATTTAGATTCATAGTCAGATTCAGGACCATCGTCTTCTGACTCAGTATTACCTATAGCATAATTATCACCCATATCAAAGCGGTCAGATTCTTACCTTAATGCGATTCTCAAAAGCAATTTAAGATGCTGGAGAGTTGGATTCTTATCACCATGAATTCTGGAAGCGTGTTTACTTCCATAATCTCTTAATTTTTTAGGTATAGTTCTATAAGGTTATTGCTTCAAGAATTCGTTAAATAGCCAAGCATTACATGTTCCACTTTTAGTAAAGACAGGATTACGTAACTTTTTAGCCTTAATTGCATCTCGAATCCAGGTGAGTAATTCCCTGGCACGTTCTGGATTCTTCTCTATAGAAAGAAAAGGTCAGGACTCAGGATTCTCCTTCTTTTCTCCTTTGTTCTTTAAATAGCTTATGCAATACCAAAAATAGCCTTCTTTATATCATGCTGGAATATTTGAAGGATCCAGTTCATAATGATTAATTTGAAGAGATCTTACTTCTTCTGGTCTCATACTCAACATCACTATTACATCTGCAAGATCTTCTTTAGTAGGAATTTTAGAAGTATCAATATTTTGAAGCCTTTTACTCACATTTGCTAAGGAGAAGTATATGAGAATTCTGTCTGGATTAGCCATTCATTTCTTAGTTCGTTTCTTCTGAATTTTATTAGAATCTTGAATAAGTTTCTTATCTTTGGCAAATTCTTCAATAATTGCAAGATCTACACCACCTTCTGCTAACTTCACATGAAATGTTGACTGACGCGAGACACCAGCAATGATTTTATTTTCATCTTTATTTTTTGGACCCACTGCCTAATAATTGGCAATAATGTCTACAAAATCATCAGCCTTAGCATAGTATTCCGCTTTTTCCTTAATGGTGAGGTTTTTCTTTCCTTTATCCAGCATGAAAGCGTCTATCTTCTCTTTACTAAATGAACATCTATTATTAGTACTGTTAGCAAGGGTAACTTTAACACACCTGCAGACTATCCAATCATCAGGAAGCAAAGCATCAAGTTCAGAAGCATGTTTGCTTAATTGTTCTGGGGTGGAATCAGTCGACAGATTATGCTTTTCTAGGAACTGCTCTAATACCAATACAAAGTTATTAGCTTTAGGTTTTCAGGTCTTTGAGGTAGCCGTTTTACAGTAGCAGTCATAAGTATCTGACCGTCCGAGATCATCCAAAATTATTATATAACTACCCCTTAAATTTTTCAGAAATATAATTTAACACAATACATGATCACCTGTAAATTT